TTGGGATTTCACACATATATATGTATATGCAAATGTAGATGAACTAGCACATTGACAATATTGTCTTTCCATAGATGGAATATTTCTCTTTTTGTTTACATCCTTTTTTATTTCTTTCAGGAAAATTTGTTATTTTCCTCATAAACATATTTATATTTATGTACTTTGTTGGATATATACAAGTAAGTATTTTTTATTTTAAGTAGTTCATATTTTCAGCTTTATAAATGTATTCAAGGCAAATATATATATATATTTTCAAGGTGTCCAGTGTCATATTTTATGTAGGTATACATTATGAAATGATTACCACAATCATGATAATAATACATCCATCTATTGTGTGTGGAAGAATGCTTAAGATCTTCTCTTGGCAAATTTCAATTACATGATACTTTGCTATTAGCTATAGTCACCAAGTGGCATACTAGGGCTGAAAACTTACTCATCTTATAACTGTTTTTTTTTTTTTAAGTTTTCTTATTAATTTATTTGAAAGAGTTACACAGAGAGAGAAGCAGAGGCAGAGAGAGAGAGAGGTCTTCTATCTGCTGGTTCACACCCCAGGTGGCCATAATGGACAGAGTAATACACCTGTCAGGCCAGGTGGCAGCTCAGCAAAGAACTGAATGTCCCATCCATGTGTAGGCTGGTGTTTTAATGGGTATGAGACCAAGTTCTGCACACTGTTCCCCCACCTCTACTCCCAACCAGTAATGCAATAATATCACCACACACACACACACACACACACGGATATTACTACAGGCTATTATCAGGCAGAAATTTTCTCCAAGAACTAGGCCTCCTCTGGTATGTTTCCCAGTGAGTGGGGGAGGTTGGATCCCCCTCCCTTGAAATGTTATTGGACAGGAAGATCATAGGCCTGGATCTCCCCTAAAATGTTGCCTTTTCATACGCAACTGCTGCTTTCAAGGCATCTGTGTTCTGTGGATGGAGATGCCCAAATTATACTGTGGGGATCCAAAGCCCTGGCTGACTTGGAGAGACACCCAGCTAGACCTAGTCCAGGTTGTTGTCTTATAACCAGGAGACATAGACAGTGGTGAGCAGAAAGTGGGGTGTACACACTCAGACATGAGTCCCAGCAACTTCATGAGAGAGAATTGCTTCCACTTAGCTAGGGCCATCCTTTTCAAGGGATGGGGGAGGAAGCTTGAGGCAGAGCCTGATTGAAGATCCCAAGGAGGCAGGATTTGGGGAGGGGCTGTGGTACACTAGGTGATCTCTGGGAAGGTGCACAAGGCATCTCTTGCCTGATGGAAAGTGAGGCTTAGATGCATGAAGAGGAGTGAGTGTGTTGAATTTTCATCCATGACGGATCAGCATGGAAGGTGATGGGATCTGGCTGGTGCACATACTAGGGTGTCAGGAGTCCTCAGCTCCTTGTCCCTCTGAATCCCTGCCTCCCTCACATCATCCAGGCCTGTTAACCACAAGAATCTGCATTCTTTTTCCTATTCTCACATACACACAGGCTCATGTCTATCTTCCTGCCTAATAATTTCACCCAGCATAATGTCCTCCAGCGTGGTCCATGCTGCTGCAAATACCACAATAACCTTCTTGGAACCTATTTTGAATTATTTGAACTTTAAGGGTATGTAGCCTGTTGTTTTTCTAGAAATTCAGAAAGTTTACAGCCTTTATTTCTTCAAATATGTTTCTGCTCCTTTCCACCTGTCATCTCTGGTGCTCTGATTACACAGATGTTGGTGTGCTCAATAGTGTCCACACATGTCTGAGGCTGTGTTCATCAGTTCTCATCCTGTTTATCAGATTGCATAATCTCTTTCCGGCCATCTCCAAGCTGACTAATTCTTTCCTCTTCCAGTTTACATCTGCTGTTAAGTTCCTTTAGGGATTTTTTAAAAAAAAATTGTTATTGTACTTTTCAAATCTAAAAACCCCAATTGGTCATTTTCATGAATTCTACCTTACTATTAATATTCTCCGTCTGATAAGACATTGCCGCCATACTTTCCTTCACCTCCATGCTCAAGGCATGGCTTCCCTAATTTGGTGAAAGCTAATGTCCCTTACATCCCCACAGAGTAAAGCCTCTGATGTCACTCTGCCCAGGGCGCAGACTTGGGGTGCACACAGTCACAAGAGGATGACCTTGGTTTTAGTAGGGTTCTCTTTGTCCTTTTCTCTGTTCTCTATTAAGCTGTCTGTGTTATACTCAGTTTCTAGTCTCCACTAACTTCCAGATGACTGCACTATGGTTTTCAACAAAGCCCTGGGACACAAATTGAATCACAATCTGATTCTATTAAATTTGGCCCTCCTTCTCAGGAGGCTGCTCTTTGAGATCTGGTCTGACCTCGGGAAAGCTGTTCTTAGCTTTCTCTTTTCCTGATTGAAAACTTCTAGCTTGCCTACAGTTCTGCTTCTTGTTCTAGAGCTACTAGCTTCCTCCTAATTGCTTACCACAAAAATCTCTATTGTTGAGGCATTGTCTCTGTTCTTTGTGGCTAATCTCTCCCACTGTAGGGGTGGCCCTTGGTTCTGGGAGCAGCTGGGATGCAGTTGTTGTGGCCCTGTGTTCTTAGCCTATTGGCCTGGGTTGATGTTCCTGCCCTTCAAGTGGACTCTCAGATGCAGGAGGGTATTTTTGGGCTTCTCAGGCACACTTGCCTAGAATAACGTTTCTGTAGCATGGAGTTGAGAGGTTGAGGGGCGTGGGAAACGCTGAGCACCTTTCCCTCTCAAAGAGATACTGTGGCTTCAACTGGGATCCAGGGAAATTGTTCTTGGCTACACTGTGTGCCTAGAATGGAGTTTCTGTCATAATGAGCTGGGGACTGGGGGATGGAGTGGGTAACGGCTCAAAAGCCACAAACTCACTGTTGTTTTAGTTTTTAACTGAAGTTTTGCCAGTTTTTCTTGAATAAAAGGTTCTTGGCTTGCTGTACGCCCCCAGAGTCTTCCATGACTGTGTTTTGTAATTTTCGCCAATGGCAGTTGTTTCATTGGGGAGAGGGTTTGTGGAGCTCCTCAACCTGCCATTGTGGAAGTCATTCCCCTTTACAATTGGTTTGATGCAAAAAGAAAGAGGGGGGAGGATGAAGATAACAGAGCTGATATCTACTGATACAGGAACAGGTAAATACCCTGTGGCATAAAAATTGAATACTACCTAGCCACGCCTATCAATCAAGAGTTCTCAAACACATGATACTGAGAGAAAAAAGAACAGCTATAGATTCATCCTTCTAAAATAACATGTAAATATGAGACTCATTCTATGGATGCACAACAGCAATGAAACAGGAAGAAGGATGCAGTCTTTTCATAAGAGATTTTTCATGAACCTTTTGAAGGCCCCTTGCATGCATAAATTTTAAAATATTTGACATTAAAATAAACTTACCTTCGAATTTCATTTTTCCATGAACTTTCTGAAGTGCCCTCACATCTATCTGGACTTTGGATAGATGGCTAAGACTTTCATTCTCTTTTCTTTTTTTAATAAGGTGTCATAAGCACAATGCATATCTCTTTGTTGAGTACATGAATCTCTGCCATATTATTCCACAACTATCTTGATGTTTTGTATACCACACAAATGGCGAGACACAGGTAAGTGCCCAGAATGGTATGGAAGGTTGGGACCTGAGGACCAACACTCATGGTGTTTCAGGGGTTGTCCTCCATGGAAGGTGGGCACACGCGGCTACACTTTATCAGGCCCCAGTCTCTTTCCTTTGGCTTCCAGTTCCTGTGTCTGCACTGTGTGATTAAGTCAGCTCCTTACTGAAGAGTAACTCACTCAAGGTAAGGCTGGCCCTGCAGGAGTCCTTGGTCAACTCTATGGCCAATGTTCTACTGCTAATCTCTATATTGAGATGTTTTGCAGAAACTTGAAGTCCTGATCAAGCCAGGTCATAACCAGTCTATCAATAAATAGTCCCCAGAAGGGTTGGAGTGCACTCAGCACAGCACCTTCAGGAGAAGAACACACCAGCCTCCTATTGCTGAGCCATCCAAAGAAGGCTGCAAGCACTGGGGACCAACCAAGGGCCCACCCAGGAGCTGCTCTTGCACGGCTCACCCCTCTCCCACTTTATAAGATTCACAGCCCTTAATCCCTTAGGGAGTCCTGGAATCTTGACAATAGCTGTGGGACTCCTTGCTCTGTGCATTGCAAAACAAACTCCTACTTTCTTCCACCACTTCTGTGTCAGTATTAATTGACATGCTGCACAGAGGGCGAGATGACCCAGTTTGGGGGGTTATGCGACAATGTAACCACTTTTGGGGTTTTCTATAACGACAGGATGGACCAAAAGAGATGGGGAGTAAGAGATTTTGTCAACAAATGCTAATTGAGCACCTGTCATGGACAAAGCTAGTGCTGAAAGTGTTGATGTAATAATCCTTTTTAATCTTCAAAACACTTTCAAATATAGGGTGTTAGAGGCTCTGTTTCAGACCACGCACTTAGTACCTGGCCTGTCTCCTCAACAGGGTGGCGGTACTGCACAAAGCATCTCTTGCATAACTTTGTCAAAACTAAATAACACATAAAGCGGCAGCAGTGCTGCCTGGCACATAGTAAAAGCCCCGAAAATATTCGGTGCTGTCCTTTCCATTTGCCAGGCACGGTGATGGTCACTGAGATGGTGACCGAAAAACACATGCTTAAATTAACCCAAGAACCCAACTGCACCCGAGGAAGCCCTGCGTTCTAGCTCTTAGTCTTTTCCAGGATCAGAACGCACTCCCCAGGAATCCGGCGCCTGGCCAGTCTGCCAGAGCTGCCGGGGGCGGGGCGCTGGGTGGGGCGGGGTTATGCGAGGGGGCGGGGCGCTGGAGCGGCGCTGCGCGGGCGGACGCCGAGACCGGGCCTGGGAGGCGACGCGAGTGAGAACGTCGGAGGACGGGCGTGGCGGGAAGGGGCGTGGCCAGAGAGGTCGGGGCGGAGCCGGGAGCGCGGAGAGGGCACAGGCGGATACCGTCGCTTGTTCCGTCAGACAGAGAGTGACCGGACGCCCGAGCCATGGTCGCGGCGCTGAGCTCTCTAGCGGCCGCCCTCGGGGCAGGGCTCCATCCCAAGACTCTGCTGCTGGGGGCCGTCGCCTTTCTGTTCTTTGCCTACTTCCTCAAAACGCGACGTCCCAAGAACTACCCGCCCGGGCCCTGGCGCCTGCCTTTCCTGGGCAACCTCTTTACTTTGGACATGGAGAAGTCGCACCTGCAGCTTCAGCAGGTAGGAGCGGGCGATGGTGTCCGACTGGTCCTGTCCCAGCCCATGCTCTGCAGGATGACGGACATTCCGGAGGCCGGGGGCGGGAGGTCGTGCGGCTCTGTGGCCGGTGTTGAAAACCTGGTAAATCTGCTTCCACAGCTGCGTTTTCCTCACTTGTCCGTTGGCCTGACCCCATCCGACCTTTCTACAGGTGGGCTGTTAGGAATTTTTTACTGTTTAAGTGTGCTAGAGGCACGTTATGTTCCTCGACTCATTTAATTTTGTATTACCTTGTTAAACATAACTGGGGGCCGGCGCCGCGGCTCACTAGGCTAATCCTCCGCCTAGCGGCGCCAGCACACCGGGTTCTAGTCCCGGTCGGGGCGCCGGATTCTGTCCCGGTTGCCCCTCTTCCAGGCCAGCCCTCTGCTGTGGCCCGGGAGTGCAGTGGAGGATGGCCCAGGTGCTTGGGCCCTGCACCCCATGGGAGACCAGGAAAAGCACCTGGCTCCTGGCTCCTGCCATCGGATCGGTGCGGTGCGGTGCGCCGGCCGCAGCGCGCCGGCCGCGGCGGCCATTGGAGGGTGAACCAACGGCAAAAGGAAGACCTTTCTCTCTGTCTCTCTCTCTCACTGTCCACTCTGCCTGTCAAAAAAAAAAAAAATTAAAAAAAAAAAAAAAACATAACTGGGACATCTCTTTTATACCATGATTATCTTATCCTCTTTTATATTATTTTCCTTTAAAAAAAAATGCTGTACTTGCCTTCTCTTATATGTGCAATGGTGACACCACTACCTGAATCCTCATCTCACCTGGCTGCCTCCCACCACCGCCCTGAGCCCCTCAGCTTCAGCCTGCCCCACCCGCCTCTGCAGAGCCCTCACTGAAGTGATGACTTAGAGAGCTCCTTCCTCTGCTTAAATGTTCTCAGTCCCTCACCGGGGACACTTCTTAACCCCTCTTTCTAATCATGCCCTCCTCAGGCTGCCTCACCTGATAACCCTGAATTCTTTAAAGTTCTCCCAGACATCACCTTCTCAAAAATCCTCAGCTGGTGTCCTTGCCACTCAGCACAGGTATCTTGCTGAGAAACAGCGCTGCGACAAGTGGTCATGACATTAAATAAAATGTCCATCATTAACATGGCTTGTAGTCCACGACAAACACTAATTTCCTTTTCCCCACGAATGCCCAGAGTGCTTTGAACATGGCCATGGAGCAGGCATTAGGCACAGCCAGTGAGACATGGCTTGAGACAGGCACCTACTATATCAGAGTGCCCATTCAAGACCCGGCTCCTCAGCTTTCTGCTGATTGACACCCAGGAGGCAGCAGGTGATGGCTCAGGTATCTGGCTCTCTGACACCAACAGGGGAGATGCAAATGAAATTCCAGGCCTCTGGCTTCAGCCTCATCCAGTCCTGACTGTTGCAGGCATTTGAGATGTGAACCGTCTCTCCTTCTCTGTCTCTCTACCTTTCAAATAAAGTGAAATTAAATAATTAAAATTTTAAAAAATAATAAACACATGCCAGTGTACCCAAGAACACATGGACAAGGTTTTATCGTTCTACAGGAGAAACACCAAACTGGTAACACTAAGTGGCACGCTAGTCACAGAATTTTAAAGCTGGGCTCCTAAACCTGTGCCTTTGTTTAAGGAATGTGTAATTTCCAAGTATTTGAACATTTTCCTTTTATCCTTTGATTAATGAGTTCTAGTTTGGTTTCAATATGTTCAGAGGACGTGCTCTGTGTGATTTCAATTCTTTTAAAGCATGAGGTCTATGTAATGAGGCAAGATGTAGTCTACCATGATAAATGTGCCGTGCATACTGTAAAAAAATGTGTATTCTACTGTTGGAGAGCGGCATGTTCTATATATATCAATCAGATCTTATTGGGCAATGGTAGTCAGCTCTTAACTTGCCAGCTTCATATCTGCAGAATCTATCAGTTGTTCAGAGAGGCATGTTGACACCTCCATTTGTGTTTCTCCATTTCTCCCTTCAGTTTTGGTAGTGTTTCCTTTATGTATTTGGAAATTCTGTTTTTGTGCATAGTATATATCTAAGATTGTCATATCTTCTTGGTGAAATGACCTTTATATCCTCTGTACTTTGGTCGTTTTATTTTCCTGAACATCTGGTAGACAGTTGTTTATCAACTCATTTTTAATTAGTATCTCTTGTTCTGGTCATCCACCAGCACCGTCATGTATGTGTGTGGCCCGTGGGAAGGGGGAAAGAAGGTAGCTCCCACTGAAGGATGTGACGCAGAAGATGCACACATAACCACTGTTTACATCCCACTGGCCACATCTAGAGAGTCTCGAAAATGTGAGTAGGAAGTCATGTCGCCAGTAGCAAGAGAAGGAGAATATCTTCAGCTTTTCTGTTGAGAGTAAGACCAGCAGAATGTGTTGAATAGAGCCCAGATCTTATGCCTACTCACTAGCTATGTGATGAAACTCCATGCCTCTTTTTTTCTGAAAACTAGGAATATTTTATAAGATTATGATAAGACTGAAATATATCAATGACTATAAAATGAATGTCAGAATTCCCAGGACATAGTTGAAACTTCTGTATTTTCTTCTCCTCTCCTTTCTTCAAAAGCTTTTACAGCAAATTCAGGGAAAGCCAGTGGTATGCCAGGCTTCATTTATCTGACCTGGTACTGATGTGCTCTGTGAACCCACTATGGTCTCTGCCCCTCCATTCCTTTGTTGATATCATTACTACAGTCTTCTTTCTTTTTGAAAATGTTTTTAAATATTATTTTCATCTACTTGAACAGCAGAGAGACACAGAGAGAAAGGGAGGAAAGAAGGGTGGGGAGAGAATGAGAAGGGGAGGGAAAGGGAGAAGGAGGGAGAGAGAGAGAGGAGAGAGAGTCAGAGAGATATTGACTTTCATCCACTAATTCACTCCCCCCAAATGCCTCCAACATCCAGGGATGGGCCAAGCTTAAGCCAGTAGTCCAGAACTCCATCTGGTCTCCCACATGGGTGTCAGGGTCCAAGCGCTTGACTCGTCATCTTTTGCCTTTTGGGATGCATTAGCAGGAAGCTGGATCAGTAGGGGAGGAGCCAGTACTCTAACCAGCACTCTGATATGGGATGGGGCTTTGCAAGTGGCAGCTTAACCAGCTGCACCACGACACTCAACTGTAGTGCTCTCTTTCTAAAATATACTCACTGAACTATCAGTAAGAATAATTTTATAACTAGTCTTAGTATTATGATTCCTTATCACAACAATCCTCAAGCTGATAACTAGGAATATTCCTCATTTTATAGATCTAGGAAATAAGACGCAGAACATTTAACTGTTTGCCAGAAATAACAGAAAATTCGAAGCAGAACCTGTGCCTCCAGTATCCAGTTTCTTAAACACTCACTTCTGTCACCTCTGCACCCTCACATATCTTCAGACCTCTGAATGCAAATCAAACAAGTGGCTGGCATTAAGACTCTTCTCAGTCTGGCCCGCGTTACCTTACCAACTTTGCCTGGCATTGTGCTTGTCCACTGGGGAGATACATTTTCCAAGAACCTGTGCCAGCCACTGGTCTTCCTGGGGCTCCTAACTGTCCCCATTAGACAGTTTGCTGTACAGGATGGTCATCATAAGGGTTGATTATTGATCTGTATGTTATATGGTTGTTGATAGTGAGCTTTTTTTTTTTATTTGACATGTAGAGTTATAGATAGTGAGAGAGAGACAGAGAGAAAGGTCTTCCTTCCGTTGGCTCACTCCCCTAAGGGTTGCTATGCCTGGCACTGTGCCGATCCGAAGCCAGGAAGGAACCAGGTGCTTCCTACTGGTCTCCCATGCTTAGGAGCCCAAGCTCTTGGACCATCCTCCACTGCCCTCCTGGACCACAGCAGAGAGCTGGACTGTAAGAGGAGCAACTGGGACTAGTACCCAGCACCCCAACCGGCACTAGAACCTGGTGTGCCGGCACCATAGGCGGAGTGTTAGCCAAATGAGCCACGGCGCTGGCCAGTTGTGAGCTTCTTGAAGTAAAGCACTTGTTGAATCCCCCAGCACCTAGCCTTGACCTACCTACCACATGGTCAGTGCTTTTTAATTAATGTGCCCTATACTCTGGTCAGATTGTAGCCTCTTATCCCCAAACAGCCACATTTTCCTGCCTGTGCACCTGCATATGCTGTGTCTGCAACCTAAAATTCCCTGGCCTTTATATGACGTATCTTCTGCTGGCACCCTGCCCATCATTTAAGATCTGACTCAATTAATATTTCTTCCTAGAAGTTTTTCATTGGTATCTGAAGTGGAAATTCACCTCTCTTACCATAGCTCCTTTACTTTTTACCAACAGTATGGCATATGTCATCTTATGCTACACATTACAATTGTTTTTCTGCACAGCTGGCCTCTCTAAAGGGACTTTGACACTAGGAAAGCAGCATACCCCCACTGCTGTTTGTCTTGCCTCTGTGTGGATCATAACAATGCCAGAAAATGGCTAGCAACTCTTGAGCACCTCATAAAATCTTATTGAATTGAGCTTGAATCTGATTACTGCAGACTGTTCTCAGAAATTAGCATGGCCCAAGAGCTAACTGTGAGACCATTATTCTTAGACCATACACAGTTATATGTATTCACGTGTACAGGATTTTACTGGAGAGCAGATCCATGACACACACCAGGTTTTCAAATATTCTATAACTCAGAAAAAATGAAGACTCTCTAATTGGATGGAAATGCTTTTTAACTATAAAAGTAACAAATACACATTGGGACAACAATTTATGATACAGATTAACAAGACAGTGAGATAGAGATGGAGTGAGAGCAAGAAAGAAAATCTTACTCCTCCTTGTGTGTGACCTGCCATCAACACACTTGCACGCACACACTCACACCCTCACATTCACACACAAACCAAGCAGTACCTCTACAGGACCTTGGTATATATTTTTCCTGATTTGCATGTAATGCAAATAAAATTTCATTTGTAATTTTTTATTAAAGATTCTATGTATC